TTTTTTTTTTTCGGTACTGGGGATTGAACACGGGACCTTATGCTTGCCAGGCAGGCACTTATGCCGTTGAGCTATCTCCCCAGCCCAGTACTTCTATTCTTTGATCTGTAATTCTGAGAAATTTTAAGTTTATATAAAAGATACTTGTCATAACAATATTTCTAAAATTAGAGAAATGCAAGACCAGTGATATAGCTCAGTGGTCTAAAGTGCCTGCTTAGGCAAACTTAGGCAAAGCTCAGGGTCCGTGGTTTGATCCCTGCACCACATGTCGTGCCAGTCCTGTCCCCAAGGGCAGGTTATGTTATTCAACATGGAATTATTAGGTCAAAATATAGATGCATTTTACATTTGGCTGACATGGCTGAATTTCTCTTTAGAGAAGTTTTCAGTTTTACAGGCAAGAGGATCTATTTTTTTTTTATCTATTTACTACACAGATTGGACTCCTAGTGATCCTCCTGTTTTCAGCCTTCCAAGCGCTGGGATTACAGGCATCTGCCACCATGCCCAGGCTCAGTCACCCTCAAAGCATGCCCCAGGGGTGGAGCCAGCACAACAAACCAGGGGGAATTGAACCCTGGTCCCTGAATCTGCTTAAGCAGGTGCTTTAGTCTGCTGAGCTATCTGGGCAACCTGAGGTTTTTTTTTTTTTTTTTTTTTTTCAACCCTAGGTTCATTTTTCATTTTAATAAACTCACAGGGTATAAATTCAAAGATCTAAAAAGGCATATAGTGAAAAGCAGGTCTCCTGTCCTGTGCCACTCAGCCTCCAGAGGGAGCCATGGAAAATGTTAATTCTTTTGCTTCCCACTTAAGTGTGAATTTGTTCTACATCTTTTCTTTTAATGACATAACTGGTGTGTTCCATGTTACTATGCGAAAGTTTTCCTAACTTTAAAAATCACTGTACAAGGGCTGGGGAGATAGCTCAGTAGAATAAGTGCTTGCCTGGCAAGTGCAAGGGCCTGAGTTCAATCCCCGGTTCCGCAAAAAAAAAAAAAAAAAAAAAATCATGGTATAGATATATCACAATACATTAAGCTTTTTAATCCATAATGATAGAGTAGCAATGCCACTATACACACCTCTCACTGTGTACCTGTAAGACTATACCTGAAGAATAGTGTCTTAGCTACTTTCTCACTGCTAAGACAAAAACTGACACCCAAAGTTAAAGGAGGAAAAGTTTACTTAGGCTTACAGTTTGCAGAGCTTTCAGTCTGTGGTCAGCTGACTCCAAGGCAAGATGGCACAGCAAAGGGGCATCACAGAGGTGAAACAGTCCATGGCAAAGCAGGCTACAAGCAGTGAGTGACAAGCAACCACAGCAACCCTCCTTCTGCCCATTGTGTTCTACTCAGTCTGCACGCCTTTAGGGTGAGTGGTGCTCACACCCAGGGAGGACCTTCCCCTTACCCACTCCCAGAACTGTGCCAAATCAATCCAACCAATTTAGCAACCACACCCCCTTGGTCCCAGCATCACACAATTAATTGCAGTGTCACACACTCTAGATCTAGCCACCTCTGAAAAGCCCCAGCTATGATTGCATGAGGCTTGGGGAGATATCCAGACACAAGTCATAACAGGTTATGTTATTCAACATGGAATTATTAGGTCAAAATATAGATGCATTTTACATTTGGCTGACATGGCTGAATTTCTCTTCAGAGAAGTTTTCAGTTTTACAGGCAAGAGGGTCTATTTGCTTCTGTAGTGGCACTGTGCCATTAAGCTTTGTGTTAGGGAGCCAGACGTGGTGATACACTCCTGTAACTCCAGCATTCAGGAGGGTGAAGCAAGAGGATTGCTGTGAGTTTAGGGTTAGCTTGTACTACATAGCAAGATTATTTCAAAAACAAACAAGCTGGGGCCTGCCCCTTAGCTCAGTTCTTTAAAAGGCTGCTTCAACAAAGCAGTCAGGCTCAGGTTCCATCCCCACAACTCAAGCCAGCCAAACCTGCCCTGAAGGCATTCGGACAAAAAAAA